CTTTTTTAAGTTTATTTATTCATCTTGAGAGAGAGCGTGCATGCAAGCTGGGGAGAGGCAGAGAGAGAGGGAGGGAGAGAATCCCAAGCAGGGGCTTGGGACGCAGGGCTCAATCCCACAAACCACGAGATCATGACCTGAGCCGAAACCAAGAGTCAGATGCTCAACTGACTAAGCCACCCTGGCACCCTGTTTCTTTGTGTCATCTTCAGTTTCTTTCATCACTGTTTTATAGGTATTTTATTATTTTTGGTGCAATGTTAATGGGACTGTTTTCTTAATTTCTCTTTCTGCTGCTTCATTATTAGTGCGTAGAAGTGCAACAAATCTCTGTACATTGATATTTGTGTCCTGAAACTTTACTGAATTCACTTATCAGTTCTAGTAGTTTTTTGCTGGAATCTTTGGGATTTTTCTATATATAAAATCATGTCATCTGCAAATAGTAAAAGTGTTAATTCCTCCTTGCCAGTTTGGATGTTAATGGCATATTTTATAAGAAAATTTTAATTAAATCCAGTTTATTGCTTTTTTTTTCTCTTGATGATGCTAGAGGTAAGGTAAGTTTCTGTCATGCTGCAGTTTTAGAACTGAGACTGAGACTGTTTATAGTCAGTCCTTTGTTGCTTATTTGAGCTATTCATGAGATAGAGACTTATTAACGGTAAAGATTTCTTAATTCCCTATCTGCCTATGGTTCTCTCTGCATTGCTGTTTCACATTGCGTGAGTTTGGTAAAATTAAAACTGAGTTCAAGAGACTTCATATATCCTAGGCTGAAAAAAAAATCCTTAATCCACTATAATATAGCTTTTATTTCTGATCTAGACCCCCTTTCCTTCTCATTTCTCCTAATAATTGTAGGATGATTCAACTTATTTTGCATTTTGGACTAAAAGATTCAAAGTCTTCATTCTGTTTTACTTTTCATGACTGCTATTTTCTCTTGCCTGCCTTTTACACAAGGAAGTTACAAAGGAACCAATCATTTTGGCATTCTTGGTTTTTTTCAGATGTTTAGTTGGAATGTCTTTGAAATTATCCAGTTAGTAAGGTTCTTTCCTGACTTAGTTTGTTCCTCATTCACATGGATCTTGAATTAAACACTAAGCATTAGAGATCCTGGTTTAGGTAGGGCTGTAGACCACATGAGTGTTGCCATTGCTCAGTCCTAAAGGAGAGTTTGGACTTAGGGCTCCTGGGTGGCTGAGTCTGTGAAGCGTCCAACTTTGGCTCCGGTCATGGTCTCATGGTTTGTGAGTTCAAGGCCCACGTCAGGCTCTGTGCTGAGGAGCCTGACGCCTGCTTCAGATTCTGTGTCTCTCTGCTCCTCCCCTGCTTGTGCACTCTCTCGCTCTCTCAAAAATATTTAAAAAAATTTTTTTAAAAAGAAGAGTGTGGAAATTATTAGGTATATTTATCAAGCTTTGACTGACTGTATGCCCTGCATTATGCTAATCTCTGTGGAAAATTTAAAACCAAATCACAATCTCTATACCTATGTGAATAGTTTTATAGGGGGGATAAGATACACAAAAATAAAAATATGTATTTTAGGTACCGTGTGTGTGTGTGTGTGTGTGTGTGTGTGTGTGTGTGTTTCACATATCACTGGTGAGTGTACATGTGTGGGTTCAGAGGAGAGCCCCAGCACTCAGCAGTACTGGATGGAGATTGCTTCCTTTCACTTTTATCAAGTCTTTTCTGTATACATGTCAGACACTGATAGAAGTTGTTCATCTAAGAAACTGAGCCAACCTTCAAACTCGGCTATGTGTGCCTCTAAGCTATACCCCTGTTTTAAGATCTTTAGGTTAATATGGATTTACATCATTTTTATCATTTAGCTGTATATTTACCTAAAGTAGGATTCTTCTTAATCTGAAGAGCTTGAACCATCTTGGGTCTCTTTCATTTGTGTGGGTGTCCTTTTTTATTTTTCCATTTAAAATCAACCTTGTAATTTATACACAGTAAAATACCCAAATTTTAAGTGAATGATTAAATACATTTTAACTACCACCATAGATGTAATGGGTAATATTTCCATATTCAAACTTCCAAAAGTTCTTTCATGTCTCTTAATAATCAGCTTTCTCCTTTTAACTCTAGCCTCTTCAAAACACTGATCTACTTTCTATAATGTACAATTTTACCTTTTTTTAGAATTTCATACACTTGGAATTAATGGAAAATAATCTTTTGTGTCTGGCTCCTCTCAGTTACAAAATGATTTTGACGATCCATTCATGTTGCACGTATGGGTTTTTTGTTTTGTTTTGTTTTCCTGAGTAGTATTCCACTATCTGGATTGTACCACAATTTATCCATTTACCCATTGGAGCACATTTGTATTGTTTCCAGTTTGGGCTAATATGAATAAAGTTGCCATGAACATTCAAGGTCAAGTCTTTGCATGTATTCATATTTTCATCTCTCTTGGAGAAGTACCTAGGAGTAGAATCACTGAATTAAATGGGAAGTCTATGTTTAACTTTATATGACCCTCCAGACTGTTTCTAAAATATTTGTACCGGGGCGCCTGGGTGGCGCAGTCGGTTAAGTGTCCGACTTCAGCCAGGTCACGATCTCGCGGTCCGTGAGTTCGAGCCCCGCGTCAGGCTCTGGGCTGATGGCTCGGAGCCTGGAGCCTGTTTCCGATTCTGTGTCTCCCTCTCTCTCTGCCCCTCCCCCATTCATGCTCTGTCTCTCTCTGTCCCAAAATAAATAAAAAACGTTGAAAAAAAAATTAAAAAAAAATTAAAAATAAAAAAAAAATAAAATATTTGTACCATTTTGCATTCCCACCAGCAAATTTTGGGAGTTCCGGTTGTTTCACACCCTTTGCCAGTACTTGGTATCTTGGTTCTTTTTAATTTTAGCATTTAGTAGGTATGTAGTAGGATCTCATTGTAGTTTCAGTCTATATTGTTCTAATGATGAGTGATGCTGAAGTTTTGTCACGTGCTTATTCACCATGTGTATGCCTTCTTTTGTGAAGTATCTCTTCAATCTTATACCACCGTACCCCGTTTTTATTTATTTATTTTTTTTACGTTTATTTATTTTGAGAGAAGATAGAACACACGAGCAAGGCAGGGGCAAAGAGAGAGACAGGGAGAGAGAGAATCCCAGGCAGGCTTTGCACTGATAGTACAGAGCCCGATATAGGGTTCAAGCTCACAAAGAACCGTGACATCAAGAGCTGGATGGTTAACCTCAACTGAGCCACCCAGGTGCCCACCATTCCCCCTTTTTAAAACCAGTTGTTTTTGCCTCTTTATCTTTTTTCAAAGTTTTATATTCTGGATACAACACCATTATCAGATTTTATAGGCATTTTGTCCTGGTCAGGTTTACATTTTCAGGTTCTTAACAGTGGCCTTTTTTGAATAGTACAGCTTTAAAGTTTTGATGAAGTCCAGTTTATCACTTTTTATTTCATGATTCATGACTCTAGATAGCTCTGCAGATCTCTTTCTTTTCAGCTTTTCCTATCCAGTAGACTGATCTACAAACTCTAGCTACTTTGCCTTCTCCATATTCTTTTTATTCAACTCAGGGAGACACTCCCCACCCAGCTCTGTGTCAGGTTGCTCTCTGTGTGCTGCAGCCTGGAAGCTGCCACTAGACAAGAACTACTGTAGTCTCAGGTCTCACCTTGGGTTTTGTCCTTTTGTCAGGGAGCAGCATGGTTCTGAGTTGCCTTAACTGCTAATGACATATTAAAAACTAGTAGTATACCAGTAAAGCTCTTTAGAAAAGCAGTTTGGCAATGTCTTTGAAAGTTTAAATAGTTTACTTGTTAAAAAAAAGAGCATAGGCTTTAAAGTTAGTCGATGGAGTTTGGGGGCATAAGAATGGTAGTGTACAAACTTGTACTGAGTAGTAAATAAACCATTGAGACCTGATGAACAGTATAATGAATATATTATGTAATGTAATAAATATGGATACAATGGCAATCATATTACAGTATATAAATGTATCAGAGTAACACACTGTACACCTTAAATTTGTACAGTGTTACATGTCAAACTTGTTCAATAAAATTTTAAAATGTAAAGTTCAAATCCCACAACTGTAAAATACTTATGGCCCTAGGAACATGATTACCTAAAAGACTGGAGAAATTACTGGACAAGAGAAGAATATCACTTTGATTTTTCATCTTGAAACAGGAGTATCAGGCTCTTGGATGGCATGCTGAATATGATGTAGTCTCACCAACGAGAAGCAAGTCTATTGTCTTATGAAAACAATGCATTGTTAAAATAGAAGGTCATGTTTCTCAGCTGTAGTTCTTTAGCCTGTGAGCAAATAAAATTTAACAAGGGGAATTTATTAGAAATACCTGGATACTTGCTATATGGTATGAAAGTTTGCTGATATTATTGACATATATTTAGTTTTCTCCACTGGCAAAAGAAAGGATATTTTCCCATAGCCTACTTGAATCCCTTGACATTTGCTGGTCTAGTTTCCTATTGAGTAGACTCTTGGGTGCATTTTTATGCCATTTGCCCTTAGGATAAACCCCAATTAAGGGACTTCTCTTTTCCTTTTGAGAACCTGGCACATGGGCTTCATGCCAAAGGATCATTTAAAGCAGCAGTTTTTGTACCCAGTTTTTCTAGTGGGAGCATTTTACCTCCTTTTGAGATTAGCTTGAATATTTTCCTATAGGAAGTCCATTTTGATTACATTTTCTCTCTTGCAATAGAAAGGTCAGCAGCTGTACTTCCTTGCAACAGAAATGGAGTATACTTGAGGTATATACAGTAAGCAGGTTGCTTTTCTTCCATATTGTTTTTCTTAATATTTTATTTTGCTTTTGCTTGAACAGTTGGTGCCTGAAGATGTAGTAACTCTGGGCATGCATATGTGTATGTATGTCCCTGCAGTATTTTAAAGCATGTAAATGAGAAGACCTTGTTATATAAACTCACACAAGTACGTACATGATTGATTACTAAACCTTTTTCCTAATGTTTCCACAGGAGTCTCCCCAGGACAGTGCCATCACCCGGGATATTAACCGGACATTCCCAGCCCATGACTATTTTAAGGACACAGGAGGAGATGGACAAGATTCCTTATATAAAATATGCAAGGTATCTCACATCCAGAAAAAAACCTCGGTTTTGAATGGTCATTCTGGTTCTTTGAAATTACACAAAAGATAACTACAAAGTGTAATTTGCATTTGGTATTTAAGAAGGCAAAAAAGAAGAGAGTAGACTTTCTGAAATTGTGTTGTTACTTTTTTTTTTTTTTTTTTT